CATCTCTGGTTGCCACCTTCCTCACTTCTGCAGGTGGGGCCCAATGAGCAGGACTTGTGAGGAGGATCTTGACTGATGGGTTGGACATTAGAGGGGTTCTGAAGGAGCAAGGCAAGGGACCTCTCAGTATCAGGAGCAAAAACTGTGTGCACAGCCAATTATGCTACCCCATAATGCTGGACGTAGCCTGCATCCAGGTGACAATGTTGCATGGTCCCTGTTCGCTATTTCTGGAGGACCGTGAGCTGTCTCAATTGGTCAGACATTTTCCTATTCTTCTCTAGCAGGGATGCCCTTAGCTCCTGCTGCACAGGCTGCTAGATACCCAGTTGCAAAGAAGGACAGCTCGACTCCTGGAGCAGGAAGTGGGAATTTCAGCATGAGAAAAGCTGCAACTGCTGGAGTTCCCTCTCCTGAACAGCTGTTAACCTTAAAGGAGCTCTGTTGTCCTCCTATGTATCTGATCACCAGCAAGCTGCACCACTCTACTGTGGTGTCATACACAGTGCACTGTGGATGAGGGCCAGGGCAGGATGAGACTGTGAGTATGGACTTTCCTTCTCCACCTGGGCATCTGAGGAACATCTCTATAGCAAAAGTGTGCTTCTTTAAAGCTCACTTCGTTGTTGGTGCTCCCTCTCAATGAACCATGGAAAGTTAGTTCCATCAGTTTGTTACTTAGAGGTCTATGCCTGCAAATTTCCTAACTGGATGACTGATCCTTTCATTAAAGCACTAGCTCCACTTTATTGTACACCACCTTTCAATAAAGCAGGGACACCAACTGCAATGATACTGGAGTTGTTGTTTTTTTTAAATGCCAGCCTAGTTGCCATAAGTCCTGATGTGGTTAGCCCAGACTAGTTCAATGATCTGATCTTGGAAGCTAAGTAGGGTTGGCCCTGGTTAGTACTTGGATGGGGGACCACCAAGGCAGTCCAGAGTTGCTACTCAGAGCCAGCCAGACAAACTACCTCTGTTTGTCTCTCACCTTGAAAATCAGCTGCAACCTGATGGCACTTTCCACCACTAGTTGTCATATGCATTTCCAAAGAAGCAAGTCCTATGTGCTCCAGTCCCAGTAATGTGCTTAGGAAGCTTCTGTGTAATTGTGAGGACACAAACAGCCACCTAGAGTCTCATGCTTCTCGAAAGAGATTCAGCCTGTAAGTAAAAGAATGTTTAAAGAGGGTCACACTAGTATCTTCTGGAGCGCTCTCTCTGGCTCAGTTTTCACCAGCAAGGAATTGCCAAGGCTGCTTCTTGCTGACTGGCAATAGAGAGTTCCTCTCTTGCCTGGGCCAATGTCCAACCCATGAGCGATTTTGCATTGGTTTTTCTCTCCGTTGTTTTACAAAACCCTTATTGGAACAGAAATTCCAGTCCGCATTGCATGCTGCTTTCACTCCCTTTGATCATCAGATTTTATGGTACCCTCGAAACGGCATGCCACTTTCACTTTCTTTGATCATTGGATTTTATGGTATCTTCTGCATAGATTTATGGCCATTCAGAGAGGTGACTTTGTAGTCAGTACAGCGTTGCCCTGAGATCGTTGAATGTGGTTTTGAGCTGCACTTTCCCCTCCCAGCTGGGAAAATGTGGAGCGAATGCTAGATGCAGAATCACCCCATGTGTGGCCTGTGTTACATAAGAACATAATAAGAACATAAGAGAAGCCAATGTTGGATCATGCCAATGGCCCATCTAGTCCAACACTCTGTCACACAGTGGCCAAAAATACCAGGTGCCATCACGAGGTCCACCAGTGGGGCCAGGACACTGGCAGCCCTCCCACTGTTGCCCCCCCCCCCCAAGTACCAAGAATACTTGCCCCAGCCTGAGAGTTCCTATCTATACCTTGTGGCTAATAGCCACTGATGGACTTCTGCTCCATATGCTTATCTAATTCCCCCTTGAAGCTGTCCATGCTTGTAGCCACCACCACCTCCTGTGGCAGTGCATTCCATGTGTTAATCACTCTTTGGGTGAAGAAGTACTTCCTTTTATCTGTTGTAACCCGACTGCTTAGCAATTTCATTGAGTGCCCATGAGTTCTTGTATTGTGAGAAAAGTACTTCTTTCTCTACCTGCTCTATCCCATGCATAATCTTATAAACCTCGATCATGTCACCACTCAGCCGTTGTTTCTCCAAGCTAAAGGGCTCCAAGCGTTTTAACTTTTCTTCATAGGGAAAGTGTTCCAACCCTTTTATCATTCTAGTTGCCCTTTTCTGCATTTTTTCCAATGCTATAATATCCTTTTTGAGGATTCGTGACCAGAACTGTACACAATACTCCAAATGAGGTTGCACCATCAATTTATACAGGGGCATTATGATACTGGCTGATTTGTTTTCAATTCCCTTCCTAATAATCCCCAGCATAGCGTTGGCCTTTTTTATTGCAGTTGCATACTGTCTAGACATTTTCATTGAGTTATCTACTATGACTCCAAGATCTCTCTCTTGGTCAGTCTCTGCCAGTTCAAACCCCATCAACATGTATTTATAGTTAGGATTTTTTGCTTCAATGTGCATCACTTTGCACTTGGCCACATTGAACCCCATTTGCCACACTGACACCCACTCGACCATCCTTGACAGATCCCTTTGGAGTGCCTCACAATCCTCCCTGGTTCTCACCACCCTGAACAACTTTGTGTCATCTGCAAATTTAGCCACTTAACTGTTTCCCAATTCCAAATAATTAATAAACAAGTTAAAAAGCATCAGACCCAGTAGTGATCCTGTGGTACCCCACTGCTTACCACCCTCCACTGAGAAAATTGTCCATTTATACTCACTCTCTGTTAGGCCCACAACCTTCCTCCTGCTGCCTCGAGACCTTGCCAGGCAGTCCATATTGTTTGCCACAGTCCCAGTGGACAATTCTAATCCATTTCCTTGTAGAAAAGTAACAGCTACCCCTTCATCTCTTTGAGATGAGCCATCCCGAACCAGAGAATTTTCATCTTCTGTCGGCTTTCCCCCAATATTCAGTTTAAAAACTGCTCTGCCACCTTTTTGTTTTTAAGCGCCAGCAGCCTAGTTCCTTCTTGGGACAAGTGGAGACCGTCTCTTTTGTACAGCTCCCTCTTGTGCTGTGCAGGATGACATCAAGGGGCTAGTGAGGGGCAATTTGTGGTTTTCCCCAACAGGTGAGTTTACCACAAATTCCCTGAAGAACTTTAATGTCTGCAGGGAAGATTCAGACTATGCCTGTAAACACGTGGGGACATGCAGCACCTATGTGCTTGTGGCAGAGAGCATGCATCCACTAGACACGCATCTCCCCTCCAAATGTGGTGGTGTTCCACAGAGGATGAAGAGCTGGTTTTTATACCCTGCTTTTCTCTACCTGAAGGCATCTCAAGTGACTTACAGTCGCCTTCCCTTCCTCTCCCCACATCAGGCACCTTCTGAGGTAGGTGGGGTTGAGAGAGTTCTGAGGGAACTGTGGCTGTCCCAAGGTCACCCAGCAGGCTTCATGTGGAGGAGGAGTGAGGCATCAAACCCAGCTCTCCAGATTACAGTCTGCTGCTCTTAACCACCACACCACGCTGGATGCACAGTGAGTCAGTGGCAAACTCACTGTGTGCACAAAGGAAAGGTGAAAGAAATGGGACTAGAGGAGGAAGTTCTTCTACAAGGCTGATGCTGGGGGATGTGCCCTTTGGAGGTGGGAGAGCAAGGCCAGGGTGACACAAGAACCGTGTATGGACACAAGCAGTGTGGTGAAAGTGAGCAGAAAGTAAAGCAGATGTGAACACATCCCACTGTTGGTGGTGGAAAGTGCTCTCAGGTCACAGCCAGCTTATGGTGACTCCATAGTGTTTTCAAGGCAAGAGACATTCAGAAGTGGTTTGCCCTCGCCTGCCTCTAGGCCTGGCAGTCCTGGTATTCCTTCAAATACTAACCAGGGCCAACCCTGCTTAGTTCCTAAGACTGAGCTAGCCTGGGCCATCCAGCTCAGGGCTTACCCATGGTTAGCCTTCACCAAAACAGTCCTGTGCTTGTGACAAAAAAAAAGCCTAATTCGCAAAAACCTTGTCAGCCTTTAAGGTGGCACAAGACTCCTGTTTGTTTCTTATTTTCTCTGGGGGCTGCCTGTAATTATTTATTTGGAAGAGAAAGGCACTTTGTACATGCTTGGAGGCATTATCTTTGCAGTCAACTCATGGCCTGGCTTTTCACATTCTGTTGGCTTGGCCCTTGAACAGGCACTTGTGCCCCAGAGGTCTCTGATGCAGACTGTTGCAGCTCTGAACAGTCAGTTGCTCAGGGAACTGAAGTTGTTTTGAGTTCAGCTTTTATGAGGAAAGGGAAAGTTGTCCGTTTGGCCAAGACCAACACTTGGCACAACAGACAGCTCAGGAAGAGGTTCCAGGAAGGAGGGAGAATGGGGCAAGCAGGCATAGTTATCATTTATGTGTTTATTTATATCCCACCTTTCCCCTTAATAGGGACCCAAAGCAGCTTACATCATTCTCCTATCCTCCATTTTATCCTCACAACAACCCTGTGAGGTAGGTTAAGCTGAGAATGTGTGACTGGCTGGCCCCAGGTCGCCAGCAAGCTTCCAAGGCAGAGCAGGGATTCAAAGCTGGGTTTCCCAGAACCTCTAGATCTCTGCAAGGTCTATGGCATAGGTCTCTGCAAGGGGAGCTGGGTGGAAGAGGAGGTTGGGGAGAGGGGAAACCGAGGCAAGCGGGCCCAGCCTCCACTGGTAGGACTAGGGCAGTGGGCAACCCCCAAGCTCCTCAGCCTCGTCCTAGTAAGGATTGGGACTGATGGAGGGGGGGGGGTATATTCCTCCTGCCTTTAAGGAGGGACCCACATGCAGACAAATGCTCCGGGCCGGAGCGCCTGCTTGAGTAAGGCACTCTGCACACGCTCGGAGCTCCGCTGCGTTCTTGCTACTTCTTGGCAGAAAGGCGTCGCTACCTTCGGTTGCGGCTGGTCTCTTCGGTAACGCCACTGGGCGTCTGCCTGCCGCCCGGAGAAAGCGCTGCCAGAGGCGTCTGCCTGCCACCCTTCATAAGCCGGAGAAGGCGCTCCAGAGCGGCTGCGGGGTAAGCCAAAAGGAACTGGGGGGAGAGGAAAGACGCGACCGGCCGCCATCGCCTTCCTTCGAGAGCTGAGGCGATGCCTCGGGGGCTGCGGTGCGGGGTTGGCGGGGTAGGGCCTACGCCAGAGTCCCCCTTAGGGAGGCTGCCTCGGGTGTGTGCACGTGGGCGGGGGAGTTCGGCTGGACGCCGGCAAGGCCAGAGGACTCTTGGACGCTGGCACGAAGGCACGCGTCGCCGCTCTCCGCGGGTTGCAGTCTGGGGCGCGTGGGAAGGCCCGTGGGGAGGACTGGAGGGCTCTGACCAGGTCGACGCTCCGTGGAAATTTTGCGGCGGCGGCGGCGCCTCCTCTGTTTAGCTCCGTTCTGCGCGGCCGGTCAAGATGCGCCACTTGCCCTGCTGCCCTTCAACGGAGTTGAGGAGAGACTACGGGGGGGCTACGGAAGGGGCGTCATGCAGATGGTGAAACAGAGACTGGCTGAGCGCGCAGCTAGCGTTCAGACGTGCATTGTACTACACCCTGTCGGCTTTTCGGCTGGGGGTAGCGCAGCTCCTCCTGTACCCCGCCCCCGTTCATCTCTCCCTCGTTCGACCCTCATTGCAGCGCCTAGTTGTTGCGGACGCGACTGGAATGAGAAGCTGGCGCAAAGCGGAAAAGCCTCGTTTGCAGTCACAGGTTTGGGTGGGGCCGACGCTGCCGGCCAGGAAGGGCTTCACCTGCTGGCTTGAGGTGTTTAAAGGCACAGGAGCAGGCCTGGCCTCTCTTTCTGGGCAGTTAGCAATGTCCACCTCCCTCTCTTCTGTCAGAGGAGTCTCCGTAACAGCGGCTAGCAGTGAATATTCACTGCATAACCATCAGACCTTGTAGCCCGCCAACTCTTTCTCCCCTCCCTCCCTCCCTCCCTATTGAGTCTGTGCTTCCCCGTTCCCTTGTGGGCTTGCTGAAACCTGAGTGTAGTCAGGGAGTGTTGTAACTCTTTCCTCTTTGGCTTTGACTCTTTGGAAGGGCGTTGCAAGATCAATGTGGTCCCTGATATCATCTGATCTTGGGAGCTAACCCGGGTCAACTCTGGGCAAGTACTTGGATGGGAGACCTCCTTGGAATACCAGCAGTTAAGAGGCAGGGGCAGGCTTTATTTAGCCACCTCTGTGAAAATTCTCCAGGCCCACGGTAGGGGTCAGTCACCAGAGGTCGCCATGACTTCCTGGTGTACAGACACAATCACACACACATGAAAAATACAACCAACCAACCAACCCCCCCCGTGGCTGTGCTGTGTCAACTAGCCACTGTCAAGCCGTATACTGCTGTGCCAACATTTTATGTCTATGCCTGAAAAGCTTTGCCTGCTGTTTTCTGTACATGCTGCTACTACTCTTGAAAGCACAGGAGCAGCCAAGTCATTTCTTCTGGTTAGTTGGCAGCCCTGCTGCAGTGAAAATGAGGCTTACATCCTCCTATCTGCCATTTTACCCTCATAACAACCCTGTGAGGTAGGTTAGGCTGAGAGTGCGTGACGGGCCCAAGGTCACCCAGGGAGCTTCCAGGGCAGAGTGGGGATTTGAACCTGGGTCTCCCAGATCCTAGTCTGACATTCCAACCACTACACCACCACACTGGTAGTTTAACAACTAATTGGTATCTGGTGCAGTGCTGGGGGCCTGGAGGGGAGACAATCCCACTGCTTTGGCACCGCTGACACATTTCTTTTTCTAGAAACAACAATGGGCAAACACAACAGTAAGCTGGCCCCCGAGATGTTGGATGACCTGGTGAGGAGCACAGAATTTAACGAGCAAGAGCTGAAGCAGTGGTACAAAGGCTTCCTGAAAGACTGTCCCACAGGCATCCTCAACCTGGAGGAATTCCAGCAACTCTATATCAAGGTATGGGGCGGGGGGCGGGGGGCGGGTGAGCCACACCCTAATACAGAGCTAGGAGTGAGTGGCCCTGGAGATCCTCTTGGGCCCAGCTGACTTGTAGAAGGTCCTCGGGGCATCATCTGCATGAGGAACACAGAACTAGAGAATGGACAAAATCTGTGAATTCCTTAAGCCAGGGGTCCCTAACATGGCGCCCATGGGCACCATGGTACCTTCCAGCACCATTCCTGGGTTACACCAAGTGTCTTTAGGAGATGGGAGCTGCCAGGTGGGGCTTTTGTCCATTAGGGCTTCTGATTGGCTATGTAGATTCCTTTTTTTAAAAAAAAAATTGCTTTGGCAGCAGCTGCCACCACAGCAAAAGGATCTTCACTGTGTGACAGAAGGTAAGCCGTTTGTATGCAAGAGAATATTGTAAAACAATAGGGTCATTTTAAAAGGCATCCTGTTAAATGGAGCTTCTGTCTGAAATGTCGAAGAGTCGTTATTAGAGTTATGCATAGCCTCACTCCCTTAATTAAAAGAACTTAATTGATGTGGACAGTTCCAGCGTAAGTAGATGCTCTGATTCCGCCTGATGAAGCCTGCACAGCGAGACTTTGTACAATAATACATCAGTCAATGATAACCTGGTATTTTTCCCCTTTTTGTTCTGTTGGCACATTGCTGGGTGCAGCCCATTTTTCTTCATCTTTAACCTCACTCCCTGATATTTTGTGGCTAGCTCCACCTCCACTTATTTTGTGAGTGTCCCCACCACCCTATATCACAACTCCAAAGGTGCCCACAGGACCAAAAAGGATGGAAACCCCTGCCTTAAGCTATTTCTGTGGTTTTGGAGACCTGTTTATTTTATCCTGCCCTTCTCCAAGTCACTCACTGCAGTATATGTGATTCTCCCTCCTTCCATTTTATCCTCACAACAGCCCTGCAAGGTAGGTTAGGCTGAGAAGGAATAACTGGCTCAAGGTAATAGAATCATAGAGTTGGAAGGGACTTTCAGGGTCATTTAGTCCAACCCCCTGCACAATGCACGAAATTCGTAGCTACCTCCCCCCTACACCCTGAAAGGTCACCCAGTGAATTTCATGGTAGATAAGGATTTGAACCTGGGTCTCCTCAGACCTATTAGAATATTCTAAACTGGCTCCCTTTTTGCAGCTGGTACAGACTTAGTTGACAGACATAGTCTCTCTGACCAAGCCCGTCCCCGATGCAGGAACATGTTCACAGGAATGTCTCTTGTTGGGCTGTTGCAGCTGTTAGCAGCTAACAGCGCCGCTCCTCTCCCCCCTTTTCTCTCTGCAGTTTTTCCCTTACGGCGATGCATCCAAGTTCGCTCAGCATGCTTTCCGCACGTTTGACAAGAACGGTGATGGAACAATTGACTTCCGGGAATTCATCTGTGCACTTTCTGTTACTTCCCGGGGGAGCTTTGAGCAGAAGCTGAACTGGGCCTTTGAGATGTATGATCTGGATGGAGATGGCAAGATAACACGCTTGGAGATGCTGGAGATCATTGAGGTATCTAGAGGGTAGCGGGGAATGTTATCTGTGGATACATTTCCTCAGGAACCTTTCTGTGTAGTGTTTAGTATTTGTTCAGGGCCACACATGGAGGAATCTGTGTCAAAATGGGTAGCTCTGTTCCCGGGGACCCCCTGCTTGCTGTCCACAGTCTCCCAAGGATCTACCCCCTGTGGCAGCATCTCTGGCGTCAAATTTGGAAAGAGGGTTTGGCCCATGTGCTTGGCCTGGCAGCTGCTAATCCCCGTAGGCATGTATGTTAAGTGCCATCAAGTTCCAGCTGACGTGTGGTGACTCAGGCAAGGGGTTTTCAAGGCAAGTGAGAAGCAGAGGTGGTTTTCCATTGCCTTTCCTCTGCAGAGTCTTCCTGGTGGTCTCTCATCCAAGTACCATCCCTGCTTAGCTTACGAGATTGGGCTATATTATCCCATTACACATTCCTACTGACCCCCATAAGAGAGATATTAAACCATGGCATTCACTGCCAGTGGAGGTAGTGATGGCCATAAGCATAGATAGCTTTAAGAGGGAGTTAGACATATTCATGGAGGATAAATCCATCAAGAGCCATGGTGACTAAAGCCGTGGTGACTAAAGGGAGGCTCTGTAGTCACAGGCAGTAAACCTCTGACACCCAGTGCTTGGAGGCAACATTCGGGGGAGGGCCTTGGCCCCTGTGGCCTGTCCATTGGACCTCCAGGGCAACTGGCTGGTCACTGTGTGAGGCATGATGCTGGCCTAGATGGACCATTTGTCTGATCCCGCAGGCTGTATTTGTGTCCTTATATGTACAGAGGCAGCAAACCTCTGAATACGGCTTCCAGAAGGCAGCAGCAGCAGCAGCAGGGGAAGGCCTGGGCCTCTAGGCCCTGGATGCTCTCTAGGGAAACTGGTTAGCCACTTTATGGTCAGTATGCTGGACTAGATGGACTATGGGTCTGATCCAGCAGGGCTCTTTTTATGTTTTTACCGTGGCTTGCACTGTTGGGTCAGCCTGTGCCAAAGATTACCCGTCTCAGCCCGCCCCACCTTCTCTTCCCCTCACTCTTCAGGCGATCTACAAGATGGTGGGCACGGTCATCATGATGAGAATGAACCAAGATGGGCTGACACCCCAGCAACGCGTTGACAAGATCTTCACCAAGATGGACAAGGACAAAGATGACCAGATCACCTTGGAAGAGTTCAAGGAAGCTGCCAAGAGTGACCCTTCCATTGTTCTCCTGCTCCAGTGTGACATGCAGAAATAGAGGGGTCAGGGGCCTGGCATGCAATCCTGCCCTCCCCTCCCTGGCCTTGCGTCTTCTTACCCCTTCTTCTCAGAGCTGCAAACTCCACTCCCTGAGACAGGTTGGGCTTTCTCTGCATGGCCTCTTCAGCCCAACCGAGTCCCCCCAAATGAACCACCTACCATTGACAACACATACAAGTTCTTTTAGGCAATATTCTTGAGCCTTGCCCCAGATCTCTATCAGAGTTCAGTCTTTCTCATCATATCTGCTGACCCAATGTGTCCAGCGCCAGTCGTCTTTCCTTCCCCAACCATTCATTCCCCCCCTTTCCCCCTGAACACCAGACATTCCCCAAGACTGTGCCAGCAAAACCTACCTTTGGTGGCCTGCCTAAATCCATGACTCTTGATGCAAGATCTTGTAATCCCCAAATTCTGCTTGGCTGCCCAACCTCTCTAGCATTAGGGAGCCTTTCTTCCTCCTTGTGACCGGCAACATAATTTTGAGACATGGCCCTTAATGGCAATTCTAGTGTGTGCTTAATTGTTCTGGAAGCCTCCCCCCCCCCCCACCCCCCCCCCCCCCAATCCCCTGAAGCCAAAAATAGGAATTGTTCCCCCCACCCCATTTGCTTACTCTCCATCCTACTTGTTGCCATGAAGAGTCAATGGCAGATGTGAAACATCTGCCTTTTGTATGTTGAGGAAAAGAGATTCCCCACTCCCAGAGTCCCTTCACTTAAAAAAGAGTGATGCCTGCTATAGAAGTGTTACCATTGGTCAGAAGTGTCTCAGAGTAATTTTAGTGGTGTATCAAAAACTCAAATTCTCTTGTCCTTATTAACATTTGAAGCTCAGTTGATCAGCTGAAGATCTCTACACTAAGAGAGGGTGGAGGAGTATACTTTTCAAAAGGGCTAAAAGAGTTGTTGTTTGGTAAGGGGAAAATGCTGTCAGGTTCTCTGTTACTCCTTATCCAAGGGATTTCCAGACCACCTGATAAAGCAGTCTGGTTTCAGCACCACCTGCTTCTTAAAAAATAGCTTTGGTGCATTTTTGTTGGTGGTACAGGGAGTCCTGTGACACATGGAACTTGGGGTTGGCTGTGAGACACAGAACTTGGGGATTGCTAGAAACTTATTTCTAGGGCTAAATCTTCAGTGCTGGGAGAATATTGTTGTGTTCTGAAGGAAAAGAGTAGTTTTGCTTTTTCCTCTTCTGCCCCTGGGATGAATAGAGATCTTTACATTTGGAGTTGGAAACTGATTGCCGGCATTTTTTGTGCTTGCTTCTCTCTGGGGGCTGAACTATTCTTCCCTGGTTGGTGCACTGTGTATCTTTCCCCCTTCCTCACCTGGATAGCATTTGACCCAGGGCAGGCTGGTTGTGTGAAGCTGTTAACCATTGCTTGACCTGATTCTTGCCTGTGACTGTAATGGAAGCCACATTGTGTCATGGGCACAATGTAGGTGAACGAGGCCAAAAGATAGCAGCTCTGACATGGGTGGAGCCAAGTAAGCAGCAGCCCTGAAGAAGGTGGCCCTTGGAGGTCATGAGCGTGCTGGAATGATCCAGAGCAGGCTGGTGGAGTGGGATGGAGCTTGTCCCTGTGGGTGCTCCGCAGGTCGCGCAGCTGACCCACATTGCCGAGGGAAGGGCATCCAGACCAGCATTCTGGGAGATCACAGCTAAGCTTCTCCACCCACCCACCCACCCCAGTCCGCTACCTCTGCCCTTCAGCATCTCCCTCCAGGACTGAAGATTATTTTTGGGTATGTGTTCAGTCTTTGTTGTGGTTTTGAATATTGTAATAATTGTTTACAAACTGTGATGTTATATTTTTTTTTAAACTGGGGGAAAAAATAAAATGTGTCCAACTTGGTGGCTTTTTCTTACCTCTCTGCTGTAGCAATAGAACTGTGTGTGTGTGGAGGAAAGTGTCGTCAAGTCACAGCTAACTTATGACAACCCCGTAGGGTTTTCCAGGCAAGTGATGAAGGGAGGTGCTTTTCCATTGCCTGTTTCTGTTTAGCAGCCCTTGGTGGTCTCCCATCAAAATAGTAAACAGGGCCAGCCCTGCTTAGTTTCTGAGATTTGATGAGATTGGGCAAACCTGGGTCATTGAGGTAACGGCAGGAAAAGAACTGACATATCTTAATGGGGGGTGTGTGTCTGTCGCACCATGAATTAGCTGATTTTTAAAATTTGTTACTGCGCTTCAGTTTTCCTTTCCTCACCAATCATTCCCTGACAATCGCTACAGCTCTAGCCTGTGAGGGAACAGCAAGTTCTGAGTCTGAACACGACCCTTCGAGGCTAGTCTAAACCAAGGGGTTGCCAACCTCCAGGCAATGGCTAGAAATCTCCTGGGATTACAACTGAACTCCGGGCAATAGAGATCAGTTCCCCTGGAGAAAATGACTGCTTTGGAAGGTGAACTCTGTGGCATTATACCCCATTGAAGTCCCACCCCATCTTCCTCACCCAAATCTCCAGGTATTTTTCATCCTGAAGCTGGCGATCCTATCTGAGCCTCTACTGCACCACCCAAACACACTTCTCTTTTCCAGGCTAAATATTGTGTAGCTTAAGCTAAAATTCAAAACCATAATACGGTTGACTGCTAGACTACTCCAGAACCTGCAATTGGTGGGTGCGGGAGCTGTTGAGTGTGACATTTGACACACAAGATGCTGGTTCTGTTTGAAACACTTGAAGAAGGCACAATGCAGAGGGGGGAAAGGAGAATGAGTGCCCCTATGTTGATCAGGGTGACAGGACCCCCTGGGGACAAAGGAGGAGCTTTGACCCTTGCAAACACCAGCAGGTATGCTACTGGGGTCAGTCCCTTCCTATGCAAGTTCAGAATTTGTTTCCCGCAGCTGTTCAAGCAAAAATCCTGGCATTATTCTGGCTTCCTATGTGGACACAACTGGCTCGCGTGATCCTTCCTCAGAAAAGGGTAAGAAGAATCCAGGAACTGGTGTACCACATGTACATTGTATGCGTTCCCTGTTTCACAAATGCAGGTTCTTTTGTTTGTCAGCCTGGTCCCTACTTGGTACCAGTGAGAACTAGCAGCTTCCAAAATACTCATTTCTGTGACTTAAGGGTGAAGGTAGACATTCTAATAGAGCTTTCCAAGGCCTAGTTACTAGTGGAAGGAGTTTGAATATACATTTTCATGCTCCGGATCCAAGTGGTTTCTAATGAAGCCCAGAATGCATCTGACATGTAAAATGTCTTCATTGTGAATTTGCTGCCCCGTGTTGTTTTGCTAGTGAATTGGCACGCAAAGGCATAATGAAATCTTCTGATTTTTTTAAATAATACTTTCTTTGCTGAAGAGCATTTAAGGAGAATGTAGAACTTCCAAGTCCCCACAATTTATAAAACACTTCTATGTTCTTGGGTGGGTATACATTGGTGATTTCCACCACTGACGCAGCCAATTCTTGACTTTAAAAACACCCACCATTGTGGAGAAAGCTGTGCCAGTCTCCATCATATAGAGTTGCCATCACAAAGAGTGGTGTGGAGGTCTCCTGGAATTGCTGCTGATATTCAGTTCACAGGGATCAGTCCCCCTGTAGTAAAAGGCTGGTTTAAAGGGTGGTGGATTCTGTGGCACTTCACAATGCTGAGGTCCCTCCACTCCCCAAGCCTTACCCTCCCCAGATCGCACCCTGAATCTCCAGGAGTTTCCAGCCCAGAGTTGACAGCCCTGTATCGATTATGAGCTTGGTTGCACTTCTGCTTTTGAATTGGAATTTGGGTCTATTTCCCAAAAACTAATGTAACATTTTAAGGGGGGGGGGGCTGTTACAATAGTCCAGTTACTAGTCTCCCGGCAACCTCCCTATTTCTGGCCTATAGTAAGCTCTGAATAATACAGAGAATAATATGTTTCAGTATGGAGTGTGAAGCAGGGGAAAGCTGGGTGGGGTGGCTGGCTAATGGTCTGTGCTTGTAGTCTCAAAGATAGGTTTCCAACACAGGGTTTGAATGTAGGACAAAATGGTGGCTAAAATGTAAATTGGTATGAACATAAGAAGAGCCCTGTTGGATTAGGCCAGTGGTCCACCTAGTCCAGCATTATGTCTCACACAAGAGGCCAACTAGTTCTGGAGGTCCAAGAACAGGGCATAAAAGCCAAGGCTTTCCCCTGATGTTGCTTCCTGGCACTGGGATTCAGAGTGCCTCTGAATGTGGAGGTTCCCCTCAGTCACTATAACTAGTAGCCAGTGATAGAACTCTCCTCCATGAATCTATCTAATCCCCTGTTAAAACTGTCGTATGCCTGTGGCCATCATTACATCCTCTGGCAGAGAATTTCACTTTTTAATCACTTTCTATGGTCTGTCCTAAATTCTAAAAGAAATCAACCCTGACTGTTCCCTGGAAGGCCAGATAATGAAACTGAAGCTCAAATACTTTGGCCACCAAATGAGAAGGGAGCACTAACTGCAGAAGATCAAGATGCTGGGAAAGATTGAAGGTCAAAGAAGACGGGGACGGCAAAGGATGAGGTGGTTAGACAGTGTCATAGGTGCAACAAACATGAAGTTGAGCCAACTTTAGAGGACGGCGGAAGACAGGAGGGCCTGGCGGGATCTGGTCCATGGGGTCGCAAAGAGTCGGACTCGACTGTGCGACTGAACAACAACAATGGTCTGTCCTGGATCTATTGCCCATCAGCTTCACTGTATGTCCTTGAGCTCCAGTATTTTGAAGAAGGTAAAAAATGTTCTCTTTGTTAACTCCACCTCATGCATATTTTTTTAAAACCTCTATCATGTTCCCCCTTGGTTGTTTCTTTTCTAAGCTGTTTTTAAAAGCAACCATAGCTGTTAATGTGTGAGCAGAAGAATAACGCCTGCAGAACACTCTTCAGAGGGAGGATTTGGTTTCTGACAATGGGTTCTGGTAATAGCAGTTGCAGTGCTGGGATTGTGCCATGGTGGGTGAAGAAGCAGCTCTAGCTGGCCCTAAAGCCTGGCTTGGCACTGCACTGAATCCTTTTACAAAGAAAACTGTGGAATTGTTGTTGCAGGCCTCTAGAGGGCACTGGAAGCCACAGGAAAGCTCAGCTGCGGCAGTTTTTTGCATTTTCAAGGATGCTGCTGCGGAGACCCTTCAGGCTTGGTGTGTTTTGGGTTTTGTTTGTTTGTGTGCACGCTCACGTGCTCATGCTTTTAGAATTCTAAAGCTGTGTATTTTGTAATACAGTCAAGTGCCAGCCTCTGGACTGTTGCTGCACGGGCACAAAGAAAGGCAGAATAAACCACTTTAAACCTGTCTGCTTACTTTCCGTTCTGAGGAAGGAGTCTGTGCCGAAGATAGCCAAACAAGTCATCTGAATTCAGCAGGTGTGCAAAGGAAACTGTTGCAATGTTCCCCCTAGTGCCCACAGGAGAAGAGCTTGTGCTAACAGTGATGGGGTCATATGGCTCACCCTCTTCACTGCATGTGGTTGGGGGAACAAATCCAACTGAGTGCAAGCAGGGTTGTGCGAACTGTTCAGCCAGTACCCTTCCTGCTCTAAAAATGTCTGTGCCTGTGGACTAGTCCCTTCCAGCTGTTAGACAAATCCAGACAAAACATCTGGATTGTTTTGTTGTCAAGGAAGGGGTGGGGGACAAGCGTCAACACTGACTGGGCTCTAGCGGCTTTGGAGAAGCTGGTCATCTCCCCCTCCCGTGCAGGGTTGCTCTTTGAGACCCCGGTTTGTAGGAGGTACCTTGTCTGTAGGTAGCCTGGTGTTCCAGCTGTTGTTATTAGTTCCCCCAGTGGGGTTACAATCACAGAGCTGGAAGGGATCTCCAGGGTCATCTAGTCCAACCCCCCGTTGTTAACCTTGAGGTGACACCTGGAGACCTCTCACTATTACAATCGATCTCTAAACTACAGAGCACAGAGATCAGTTCCCCTGGAGAAAATGGCTGCTTTGGGGGGTGCACTCCACAGCATTACCCCTTGTTGAGGTCCCTTTCCCTCCCAAGCCTTGCCCTTCCCAGGCTCCAGCCCCCTAATCTCCATGTATATCCCAATGATTTTCTTTTCATTGCTCTTGTACTTCTGTTGTGAAGGGAGCCAGTGTGCTCCAATGGTTAAAGGAGGCAGACTCTAATCTGGAGAACTGGATTTGATTCTGCCCTTTTCCACTTGAAGCCAAGCTAGGTGACCATGGGTCACTCATAGCTCTCCTACCCTCCCCTCCCCTAAGCCTAGCTTGCTGCATAATGCTAAAAAAGAGCTAGAGCTTCAGGCTGCCAAACAATCCTGGAATCTCCTGGCTATACCACACAAAATACCATATGATAATTTTATTTTATTTTTCTGTTGTGAGCTGGCTATAGAGGCAGTCAGTACTTGTGTACATTAAAAGCTTGGATAATTCCAGTGAGATTTTTCAGCCCTTCATAGTATGATCACGCCCGTCAGGGTTGATGCAGACGTGAAGACCTTCAGATGAGCATGGAGCACCTTGACTGCCTGACTGGGCAACCACAGCTAAGCCTTTTACTTCTGTGCCAAGGAGGCAGAGTCAGGCTCAAAGCTCTGGCACCTCTCTTTTTAGAAATCCAGGCCTGCTTGCAGATCACCTATTTTTAAAGGGGCTATAATTGAATCACTTGGCTCAACTATCTGCATCTGCAACCAGCATGAGCCATGGAAGATCCTCTCCCTGGGTGGGGTGAAGACATTTGGCCCACTTTCCACAGAGGGATAACTCCATGTCTGGCCTACGCCACTTCAGTCTGCAAGCAGGGGCTCTCAGGATTAACCTACCCCATCCTATGTACAAAACAAAAAAAAGGTTCCCATACAAAGGAAGCTAGGCTAAGGACCCTTTGCCTTGTCTCTGAGTTTTCTGTGGGCGGGGAATAGTTTGGTGAAGGAGGATTCACCAATGTGCGCCAACCCTCCCTTGTAGTCTGAAAGTGGTGTAGTCCAGATATAGGTTTACCATCTCAGGGCTATGACTGGATCTCTTGGTGTTTTCTTTTCAATGAAATGCAGCCATGGAGGCTTCCAAATTGATCAGAAGATCTTCTCCCTTCTACCAAAATCTGCTAGGGTTACCAAATCTGGGTTGGGAGACTCCTGAAGAGGTTGGGGGCAGGGTGGAGGTTGGGGCTGGTGGGCTTTGGAGTCCGGCCTCCATAGACTCCACTCTCCAAGCAATCTTTTCCTCCTGAGGAACTGATCCCTTTACCCTGGAGATCCTTTGTAATTCCAGGAGAGTTCCAGGCCCTATTTAGAAGCTGGCAGGCCTAGCTGCCACCTGTCCACTCCACCCACTATTTGCCCTGTTTGAGAGCCAGTTTAGTGTAGTGGTTAGGAGCGCAGACTCTAATCTGGGAGGACCAGGTCTGATTCCCCACTTCTCCACATGCAGCTGCTGGTGTAACCTTGGGTCAGTCACAAGTTCTCAGAGGTGTTTTCTCAAGGGCAGTTCTCGAAAGAACTCTCTCAGCCCCACATACCTCACACGGGGTCTGTTGTGGGGAAGGGAAGGGAAAGGAGATTGTAAGCTACTCTGAGACTCCTTTGGGTAGTGAAAGGCGGGGTATAAATCCAATTTCTTCTCCTCCTCCTCGCTCAACAACAGAAGCGACCCATCTGGGGATCTGCGAGCCATTTACTCCAAGGCCTGAAAGCGCCAGGGGCCACCTAGTGTTGGCCCTTTTTGCTGTGTTCCAGCTGCAGACTTCAGGGCTCCTCCACTGCTGGTGCTGATGCAGCCCACTTGCTCAGGCCATTGCTGGCTGTGGGCTGTCGAGTCCTCTGAGGCCAGACTCACACTTTGCTATATAAAGTGCTTGACTGACCCTCTGCTGCTGCTGCATGGGTGAAGAGAGAAGGGTAGCTCAAGTCAGGCATCTGAATTTATAGATGGCTGCTGGTGCAGCTGTATCTTATATGGGCTTCATATGGGGTGCACGACTGCTAAACCTGGACCCTCAGACTTTCCCCAGCCCTGACAGCACAGCTGCAGATGGCTGGGAGGGATGCCAGTTTTGCAAGCCCCCCTTTTTTCCTGCCCCACGCTTGCTAGGGAAGGTTGCAATATAAGGTACTACTTTAATAAATGTGATTGTAATTTATTTCCCACTAGGAACATTCAGCATGACACCCAGGGCCAAAGCTCTGCCCCAAGCTTCCTGACATTCTTGCACCTTCTGGGGTTGCCATATTTTCTGTATTTTTAACAGCTACATGACCAAACAGGTTTCTGGAAAGGCATCATAAAATCCTCAATAAATAAGACAGAACTGCAAAAGGTGCAGCTTTTCCCATTGCTGCCCCTGTTGAATTTCTACCTGTCAGGCAGCTGTTGAAGGCAGAGAGTGTTGAAGGCAGAGAGAAAGGCTGGGGATGCTGGTTGTGGCAGCAGCGGACTGCTGGTGATCACGCATGTTGTAGCATCAGTTGCCGCAAATGGGACCTGAATCAATTAGAGTATCTTAGCCATGAAAATTAATCCCCTTTTATGTTGTAAGCCAGACAGAGTTGCATAACCAAATGCCCTCCGGGGATTATTTATACAGGAGAGAATCATCTGCTCCTCAGGACACACACCAGCCCAGGACAGAGGAGGTGCAGGCGGGAATCTGCCTGCTCGTCAGCCCCTCAAAACCTCCCCAAGGGTAACAAAAGAGGGCCTGACTGAATTCTCTGGTAAAATCATCCAAATTCCTATAAATTATTTTGCTGAAGTCCCTCCATAACAGAGGGCGTGAACATACTGCCTGGATCTGGTGCTGCTCTCGGGGCTGCCCAGAAGCAGTCTGAGAAGTCCACACAGCAAGATACCCTTGGAGATATGCCCCAGGTTGTGCCTCGGATTGGCTTCACTGCTTCCTTTCACTGCGATGCCCAGGAGGGAGTTTTGGCTGGTGCAGCTTTTCTCCAGGCCTGGTGACAGCCTTAGGGGGTGAGGTGAGCAGGGCTTCCTGCATCCAGGAGTGGCGTTTTAGGGGTCTGCCTGATTGGTCTTTGTCTCTCCTTCCCCCCCCCATGTCACTGCTGCGGAAGCAGACTAAATGGTCCTAATGGAAGGAGCTCGATTACTTAGAATCTGGGCATTCTTGATGCAGAGTTTGGCTGCTTGGTTCAGATAAAGAGCCAGCGCATATCCCTGGAATGTGGCAAAGCACAAAGGGAAAAGGCTTGTAGTCAGTTGCATCGCTTTTGTGTTTTTGTAATCCAGTTGCTGTGTTGTTCGTGATGTATTTTACACTGCTTCCTTTATGGCATTGTTTCCCCTCACTCTGTAACTTTGTAAGCTCAGTGAGAAAGGCGGACTTAGAAGCACAATCCATAAAACACAATTAGGGTTGCCAGCCTCCAGGTGCCACCTGGAAATCCCCCACTGTTGCCATTAATCTCCAGATGACAGAAACCAGTTCCCTCTGGAGAAAATGGCTGCTTTGGAGGGTGGCCTTTATGGCATTGTACCCAGCTGAAGACCACACCTTCCCCAGCTCCATCCAGAAATCGCCAAGGATTTTACAACCCACAGTTGGCAACCCTCAGCCTGTGTGAGGTGAGAGGAGCCACCACTGCCACCAGAAGCCAGCTGCCCGGGTCCAAGACTGCTCTTCTTCTTCTCCCCCCCCCTTTGAGGGGGTGCAGCTGTGGGCAGTCATCCCCCCAAACATGGGGCTCTGGGGCAGCTGCCCCTGTTGTCTATTGGCTAAGAATACTCCTGAGTGCTAGTTGCTGGGTGGCAGGATTGGTCCATGGCTTCTGCAACCTGCTTGTGGGATTCCTGCCGCCTGCCTGTGTAAACAAGTGTAACCGCTGAATTGCCCACCTCCCTGGCAACTGGACCTTCCAGCTTAGAGAATGGCCCTTCCCAGGAGGCTGGGTTCAGCCAACTCCTCCGGTGCAGAGATTTGTCCCCTTCCCCCAGCACATTGATCTAAACTGAATCACTCCCCTGGAGAACAGCAGCTTGCCTGAGGCAGCCGATCCAGCCCTGAGGAGGTTAAGCAAGCTTGGCCGGCTGGCGGCTTTGGCATTCGAGCCTGCCCTGGAGCTTCATGGGATCCCATATCAAGCATTTTGTCCTCGCTGGAGAAGCGAGTCACACACACACACACACACACACACACACACAAACCTGCTGCTCCCTCCTCCTCCTCCTCCTCCTCCTCCGCTGCCTGATTTCATTCTCTCTAGAGCCGAGCTGCATCCCAAGGATACTGGCGCTGTAATCCCGAGCACCATCCCCACCCGCTCTGCCTGCTAAACTGGAAGAAGAAATATACTTCGCTTGCTAGTACCGTCTTGCTCCTCGGGAAGGGCAGGGAGCCAGGAAGATGGACCCAGCAGGACTTGGGCACCCGGAAGAGAAAGGGGACACTGGCAGCAAAGCAACCAGCGCTGGAGGACAGCCAAAACCAGAGACTTGGGAAGATACCAAAGCCTTTTATGCCAACCTCTCCCCACAGAAGAAACCCAAATCGGTAAGGGAGATTCCCCCCCCCCTTTCTTTTCTGGGAATAGGACAGGCAGTGATGGGATGTGGGTTGACCAGGGAAGGGGGGTGGCTGGCTGGCTGGCACTGTCATGTGTTTACATAAAAGAGAAGAGGAGGCCTGCAAAAAGGGAATTCATCTTTAGAGTAGAAATCCTGACCTAAGTGACTTGTTGCGTTTCCCCGCCTACTTACCTGTGCAGGTGTGATGGAGGGTGAGCAAAGAGGTGGGACCTGTGCTTTGCATGTAGAACACAGAGTGGAATCACTCCCTGGTTTAAGGATCTTGGGTTTCGGGGCTGGGAAGGATTTCTTTCCCTCATCTTGGAAAGTGGCTGCCACTCAGTGCTGGACTAGATTGGCCAATGTTCTGGCTTTTGATAAGGCAGCTCCATATGGTTCACAGGCCCACTTGGGATGAATGGCATCTTTCAGATAGCTGGCATTCAGCACAGAGTGGTATGCTTCTACCAGCAGCTGCCCTTTGCCTGCAAGGCAGAGAGCCGCTCTGGATACACAGTGAAATGAGGGGAGTTGTGGAGGGGATACAGCTGCAAAAATAGAATGCGCTGTCCTTCGGGATCTGAGGTCAAGAACTTACTGGCTAAGCTGTCTGTTCCAGCTGTTGTGCCCAATGGGAAGGTATGCAAATCCCTGTTGCTTGTAAGTAATGTAGTTGTCTGGGTGCAAAGAAGATGGTCTGTGGCCCCAGTACTGACCAGCTCATGATGAAGAATATGCCATTGAGATGCAACCAACTCACGTGGACCCCATCCCTGGGGCATTCCAGGCAAGAGACATGGTTTGCCATTGCCTGCCTCTTCATAGCAACTCTTTTTTTTAAATAGTTTTTTATTGATTTTTACAACACAAAAACTAGACAAACCATGACAATACACAGACATCTACAAACACACAAAAAAGAAGACCGCCATATCTTATCATAACTGCAACACAAAATTCTAACATAACTAACTGGTTCCACATTTCCCAACAACACATTCAGATCACATTTCTAAGTGTATTTCTAGTCATATTAAACAAAGAAAGAAAAAAACAACAAAACTTGAAAATCAAATTCAAATACTTCTTTTTTATCTGTCTATAATTCATAGCAACATTTCAACAACATCAACAAAAAAGAAAAAGAAAAAACAGAACAAACAAAATAATCTTAACTATTATTAGATTATTCTGATTTATCTCATCTCAATTAGCATTTAAGTTTGTAAAGTTACCGACATTCACTTTACTTCTAACTTTATCTTTCTTTCCTGCTTCCTTAGCCAACTTATCACTCCTTAACATTACATTATACTGTATAATTTCTTACTTATACTCTTATGACCTTACCTAATATATAGCATTTTATAACCATTACCTACTTATTTACCCTATTTCGTAATAAGTTAATTTACCAACTTGCCACAAACCAAACCAAAGGAAACCTCAAAATTCTTAGTTTTAATATTCAAGCTTCTTCTCTTCATATTAGTACAAAGTATCATACGCTAATGCTTCATTTACTCCAAAACAACTAAAAGAAAAACTAACAACTGTTTATAACCAGGGGCTTAAAAATAAACTAACAGTTTTATAAACACATTGCTTTTATCTTTATGCCCC